CACACAAACACTCTTTCTCTTTCTGACTCCCCCTCCCCCACCAACGCCCTCACTCTGTCCGTGTCTTTTTCTCTGCCCATATACGTCTCTTTCCCCACGGCCTCTGTGCGTCTGTCTGTTGGTCTTCACCCTTTCATCAATGCACACAAAATCTTGCCAGAATTCTCTCGCTTCAAATCGCCATAATCTACATACTACCTTTCTCTCCTTCTTTATCTGTTGGCTTGTCGTCTTTCAACCTTTTTAAGAATCTGCTTTCCAGCTGTAATCTACAATAAACATAAAATGCTGTACAATTTATTTATTTTTAAAATATTTCTTTAAACTTAGCGCAAATGTTGTTACACTGTTTTGACCATTATGATCTCACCACCTCATCTAATGACTTTTCATCTTATGACGTATTGATCTAATGACGTATTTCCGCTGTCAATCTCTAGCATCCGGTCACGTGGCAGAGTTCAGCAGACGGCACCAAGTGGATAGGTCACATGATTCTAAAGAAAACAGTTCTGGAAGGAAGTGGAGAAAAACGAGACTCCAGCGCAATTTTGGGTAGGTGACCAATCAATTCTTTACCTAGGGTACCGCACCCCATTTTGGAGCCAAAGAAAAAAATGGCATCTCTCTTTCTTTCTGTGAGGCTACTTAAGACGAATATTGAATAATGATATAATAATATTATTATCATCATCATCATCATCATCATCATCATCATCATAACAATAATAATAATAATATGATGATGGTAATGATGATAATAATAATAATAATAATAATAATAATAATAATAATTATTATTATTATTATTATTATTATTATTATTATTATTATATTGACAATAACAGTAATAATGATAATGGTAATGATAACAATAATAATAATAATAATAATAATAATTGCAATTAAGTAGCGCATATCTACTTTCTACAGCGTGCTGTAATGTGCGCTTTACAACTTTGATTACAATATGGGTTTTCATTACGGCTAGATGTAAAGGACTTCTATTATTTGGGCTAGAATGAGCCTTTTCTGGGTAGAGAAAGTCACAGTATCAGGGATGGGGGCACAGAACAGCCCAAAGATGGGCAAAAGTAAGGTACATCTATAGTCGTTTAAATATAGTAGAGGGTTTTACGGCGCTCGCAACTGCATAAGGTCATATGAGCGCCTAGGTTTGGGTGTCAACAGAGAAGTCTTTACAGGGAATCAGACTTACTCTGCTCACCTCTCTAGCTTCAACAGCACAAGGTCTGCTTCGACTATCAAGGCTCCCCTGAAATAGCAGGTCTCAAGAGAGTGACAAACATACAAAAGAAGTAGAGGAAAATGACAATAGTAAGGATCAGGAAAGAAAAAGCAGCAGTTCCCTGTTGTAGATCAGGCACAGTTATGAGCGTGACATGAGTCTACCGTAGATCTGGCACAGTTATGAGCGTGACATGAGTCAGCCCATTTACAATTCTACTATGCTTGAACGAGAAATTAAAGACACTACAGTCAGTGACACTGCCCCGCGGGGGGACATCTATAGTCTTTTGTTTTCCAAAGTTCAAACTTATTGTGACTGATGTCGGGGACAAGTTGAGCAGTAAACCCATTCCTTTAAGTCTAACCTTTATAACGTCTACTGCCATTGTTAACAACCAATACAAATTTCTCCCTGCGAGATAAATAAAGATTGTCATTGTCATTGTCATTGTCATTGGCGGGTGCTTTAGTGTGGTTAGCTTCTTCATTCCTTTCAAATATCTATGGTCCCTGATCTCTCCTCCTTCTTTTTTGTGTTTGTTACTCTCTTGTAACACATCTAATCTTCGGCACTTATATGACTTAATTTGTATTGCTAGTGCCGTAAAACTTTTACTAAAACTAAGACTTATTCCAGCTCTTCCCAAACTGCTTCGTGGATTGTGAACATTCTAATTTTTTAAATTATTTTTTAAACAACGTTTTTGACTTATTTGAAATATTATTGTACGCAACAAGATAGTTCGATTTGTTTGTTTCAACGAGCGCCTGAGTTTGCCCCAATGCCACACAGTCAGCTTCCTCTTCCCATCAGAATGTCCAGTCTGGAAGATTGGTGGGTGGCTGTTTACTTGAGTGATGTAAAGTTCTCGGAAAGGGGGGGGGGAGCAGGGGTTAGAACCGAGCTTTGAGAGACCTTCTCAGCGTGTTTTGCTCTTTGTTTCGTAAGTTTTACGGCCCTTGCAACACAATTAGGTCATACAAGTGCCGAAGATTAGAGGTGCTACAAAGGAATAACATACTCACAAAAGAAATAAGGAGAGGTAAGGACGATATACGTTTCATAGGAAAGGAGGAAAGGAGGAGCAAACCTCACCAGAGCACCAGCCAACCACCGACAGGGTATTGTTCAAAATGTTCACAAGGCAAGGCCAACTTATACTGATAATATTACTCGTCTCAGAAATTTCACAGAAATGCATCATGTGCACACCCCCCCCCCCCCCCCAAAAAAAAAAAAAAAAGAAAAGGAAAAGGAAAACCAAACCCAAAACACGTGATGCCCAAACTTGAAGCAATGCCAAGAAAATAGAACGGCAAAAGATGTAGAAATGGTACCCTGCAGTAGTAGAAAGTGTGGAAGGAATGAATGAAAATGAATAAATGAATGTCCTTTTCGGTAATGAGAAACGACGACGAGAGATTAATTAATGAATGTATGTATGTATATTGTGTTGCTTATTGGTTTCCCTTAGGTCGGTCTGAAGCGTTAGGTAGGCCACATTTGAGTCTTTTCATTGCTGTTCTTTGTTGCATCTTTTCAAGTTTTTTTTATATCTTTTGAGCGTGAGCATGTTTTTTGTTTGTTTGTTTTTCTTCCTTCACGTGTTCTTTTATTTATTTTCTGCACAACTCTCCATTCACTGAAAGAAGTCATTCACACAGAGAGACGCAAAATGCACGCTTGGCGCTTTTTGATTATTTAAAAAAAAAGAAGAAGAAGCTATTTTTCGTAAGTCAGATGAGAACGAGAGAAATCGCAGAGGGTGAAAA